GATTTCGTTTTTTTCTTTCTTTTGAGAACATCTCGGTGAAAGTCAGGTTTTGTCGCTTCTGGAGCTGAATTGTGGCCCCAAACGAGAAATAAATAAACACACACTGAGCTTTATTCTATTCGGTCACACTATTTTTTTTTTTTTTTTATGTTATTGCAGAAAATCCCACATGTTGTCTTAAATGTTATATTATTATTATTACTACAGTTTTATGCACGTGCAAGTTATATTTTATTTTTCATTAAACGGCTGCAATTAAATCGGATGCAGAAGAAGATTTTTTTTAATCATAATTCTCCGATGTAAATGGTGTTGACATTTGCAGATAAAGCTTTCGGAGGAAACCAAGGACACACTGACATTAATACATCTCAGTTCATTCGCACGCCACATTTATAGTCACAAAAATAGCACTGTATCGTCTTTCTGTTTCGATGCTTACAATCTTTAACACTGGTTGTTGTTTTAGATGTTCAGCCTCACCTCAGGATCATGTCTTCAGCCGCCCTTCATCATCCTCATCCTCATCCGTTCATTCACGGGGCAGGAATCAGACTCTCGATTATTGAAGCTGTTTTCATAACCGTGCGTGAGCACTTGTGTTCCCTTCGGTCGGATCAATTATAAACATACAGGAACGAGATTGAGAAATATTTCTACACTTCTGTTCATGCATGTATAGTTTCACCCAGCAGGGGTCGCTGCGCTATTGGCCCCGGGGTTAGTTCTCTCACAGCTACAGCATTTCAAGCACGCAGCATTATTTTATTATTTTGTTTTTCCAGTAAAATATTTTTTTTTTGCTCCGTAACCTCTGAAAAAATAACTTTTGTTTCAGTGATTAATATTTTTGCTCCTCCGTCTTTAAACACCCATTAGGTTATTTAATTTAAAAACATTTAATTCGATCAGACACTGATTAAAATCCCGCAGACATGTACTGCGATTTTCTGTTTCTGTTATGTATTATTAGTAGTAGTAGTATTATGCTGCCATATACAAAAACAATAGAAACCCCCTGAGAGCCAGTGAGAAGTATAGCATGTGCTTCTGCTGTTTGTGTGACGCCAGATCGCTGAGATTATTCATCTCTGATCAACATTAATTACAGAATTACCCGAGAATATGTCAAGTAAAGAACCCATTTAAAATAAAACCTTTTCTGTCAAGAACAATAATGATGATAATAATAATGAAAGATTCAATGATAAGGAAATAGACCTACAATAGCCTACAAAAAAATAACTATATAATAGCTACACTGGAAAAAATGATACTACATTTTTTAAGGTAAGTGGTTGCAATCGATTTATTTTCGCTACATTTAAACAAATTTAGTTGACTAGCTTTCAGCAAAATGTATTTAAATGTAGCTGAAATAAATTGATTGCAACCACTTACCTTAAAAAATTATTCGTAAATTCATTGAATAATTGTTTCAGTGTAACTACTCATTAATAATAACAGCATTAATAATAACTAGTATTGTTTCGAGAAATGGTGTTTATCTGATACAGCAGTGAATTACGTGCACGTAATGTGGAACCCGCTCATCCTATAGTTCATGTATTTTCTCGTAGTTTATTGTGTTTTAAAATCGCTGTGAAATTAAAAGCAAAAGCTACCGCAAATAGCCTGCGTGCGGATGCTGCGTGTGAATTATTAGAGGTTTGAGCTGATGTGAAGATCCACTGATGCAGCTTTTGTTGTTTACTCTGCTCACTGTTTCTAAACGAACAACAGAAGGAAGAGAAAGAGTGAAAGAGAGAGGTATTATTCCCCTGCATGTGCTTTATTGATCAGTGACTGTGAGCTAATGTCATTATCCTCATCAATAGAGAATCACTGTGATGCTGACAGTGATTAATGATCAGGGGCCTCTGCGCGTGACCCCCGGGGCCCACAGACACACACACACACACACACACACTCGCTCTCACACACACACACAGCAGATGCCGCTTCAGCTGGAACACGTTCTCTGCTTTATATGTGATGTATGTAGAAAACACGAGTCGCTTTCCTGAGAGAGACGCGCGTGGAGTTTGTGTCGATGTCTGCTGAAGACTTCACTTGCTCGTTTTCTCCTGTGTACTGCGAACAGTTCGTCTGCTTTTGTGTGTTCTTGCATTCATTCCCGTGACTCTGACATGATGATGATGATGGTGATGAAGGCTGGATCATCCATCATTCCTGTCACAGGCGCAATTCAATCCACCTCCTGTCCCCTATTAATATTAAAATCAGCTCACAATGATGCCGCCCTTCCTTTCACTGTTTTTTCTTTCTATTTCTTTCTTTCAGATCATATTCTAGAATTTCGAAATGAAATATTTGCACGTCTATTTTCTCGAATAAACAGTCGTTAGAATTATATTTGTTGGTTTATGATTCTTGGTTAATAAATAAACTTAAATAAATAGGCTACAATAAATTGAAATAATTTAAATGTCTATAATAACTGGCACCACGCTAAAAAACATTTTTCACATAAACATGAATATCTGCAGCAGGGGATCAAAACTCGTGTTTATTTGGTGTCGTTCGAGGATTTCTCCTGCGGGATATTTAGTTACAGTGATGTTATTATGTTGTAAATTAATAAATACCGTTGGTGTACATTTAAATGATTAATACTGTAATTCAGCTTTCCACAAATAATTAAAAACCTTCTGCTTTGGGGAGAAACGCATGTTTTCTTTTATTCATCGAGCGTAAAATCAGACATTCGGTGCAAACGAACCCTTCAGTAAAAATTCAGAGAAACATATTAAACATTAAAGTAACGAAGAAAGACTAGCTTTCACATCAAGCTCTTGAAACATCTGCCTGTGCACGTGTTTGTTTTTCAGTCCGAGGTAATATTGCTCTTTCCTGGAAAAGAGTTTTAATGCGTTTAGCGCGTTTCGTTCGTGGCGTTTATTGCGCACGTGAGCGTCCTCGTTGTTGTAATCGACAATTAATAATTTTACTAGCATGCATAAATGCTGTTTGTAATAGTAATAATAGCAGTGATGTTGTGCCGTGGCGCAGCGGGTGTAGTGTCAATGAGCTCCAGCAGGAGGCGCCGCGGAGACTCGAACCCTTCAGTCTTACACTGGAGACCATCACTGTCCATTACCCCTCAAACCTCAAACTGACCCTCTGTGAGGCCCGCAGCTCGAAGTCAGCGGAAGCTCTTGGGTTTGTTTTGTGTCAAAAACAAGAAAGATCGGATTTAGAGAACATTAACGCGCCATGATCCCGGCTTACACAACAACTGTGCACCATGCCCGAATTCTTTGTAAGCATATTAAATAAGAATAATGAATTATACATTATGCATTGTTATATATTAGTAATTATTTATGTATTACAGATTTGATATTATTTCCATGTGCGACACACTACAGCACACAAGAATACCAAAATCAAAAATGAAATATTTATTACAGCATTTGTGACTGAACACCTTTGAAACATCACGCCACAGTCCTCATACAAGTATTGAATGTATTTCTGACAAAGCTGGAGGGAGACAGTATTTCATCTTCTAGTGGAGCACGTGCTGAGAAAGGAAGGGGATCATGGACATAACAATATCAATGCCACAGCAGATCTGAAACTAGCAAAAACATTCGTCTTCAGTTGAGGTAAACACATAGAATATCTAACATGAAACAATTAATAGACTGAACTCTGTACGAAGTTTCTTACAATATTGTCTCAGCTTCTCACCGAGCTTTGAGTTCATAATTTAAGTTCTTGTTTTTTTTTTCATCCTTTTAAAGTTCACCGCGTCGACCGCTTCTCTGCTGTGTGCCAGAGAATCCATGAGAATGGCAGATAATACATTGATCCCACTGCTGCAGGACGGTGGTTTTTCTCAAGGATACACGTCCTTCATAAGGCTCTTACTCTGAGAGTCCGAGATACAAAATTAATAATAATAATATTAAAATAAAAACGTATAAAAGCAACACAATCCAGTGCTTGGGCAATTCAAACGAAGAACTACAGGGCAACATTCATTCATGGACCGAAAAGGGAAAATGCATGAGGAAAAAAAGAGGAGGAGGAGGAGTTTGGTGAAGAGAGCGGGCTTCAGTCGGCGGAAACTCTGATGGACAAGGCATCATCGTTATACCGGGAACCGTGGCCCGTTTCTCCCGTTATTGCCGCGATCGAGCTCCTCTGCCTCGGGGATCCGCACACACAGTGTGAAAAACATGGCAACGATTTACTATAAGTTGAAACATCCTCTGTTGATTTGAACAGACACCCAAAACTTTACAAAGTGTTTCTGTCAGCTCTTGGTCCTCCAGCAACAAAAGTAACAAACTTTCACAAGATAAAAAACGATCACAGCTCGTCTGGAATTCCACGAGAAGCTTCTAATTCTGCTGTCGGATGCTTCAGCGCATTCTGTTTTCCTTCACAAATCTTTCGTGGGGTTATTGTCCAGTATTGGTTGGTTCCTTCGGTCATCGGCCGGTCCAGCAGCGCTGTGGTCAGGGGGTCAGAGGAGTCGTGGTCGAGGAGGGGGTCTGTGCGTTAGCATGGCCACACGGGTCGCAGGGTGACGAGGAGATCGGTGTGACAAACACAAGAGACGAGGGGCTTTTGGTGGAGGAGGTGATGCCCACAGGACCACGCTGAGGTACGAACTCCCCCGGCACGCCTCGATTCACCTGAGATTCAGAGAAACACACAGTCAGCGGTGCCAGACCAATGCGACCACAAAGCCACACTTATCTCTTTTACTTAGTGTCCTGCACCCACCAGTAAAAAAACATCAAAAATTATATCTGGTGTCTGAATAATTTTTGGTTTGACTGTAGATGTAGCGTTCATTTCACTTATCCATCCTCAATCACGCAGCAGAACAAGACAGTTCAAAATGCATGCATTTTACGTTCTCTGGGAATCGAACCCATGTCCTTGATGTTGCTGGCGCCGTGCAGTGAAGTGATGTGGATCTTGCAGAAACAACCTAAACTTATCAGCGCTCAGAGCGGTCGAATCCCAGATGAAATTAGTGACAGAACAAGATTTAATTCAAGTTCCTTTACGAACTTGCTAAATTATTTAGGGGCTGGTTAACACCGCTCAGTGAACAGCGCAATATCTGCTTAATATACAGGACAAGATCTTACACGGGAAGCCATTAATTGAGCCGCAGACCATAAAGAAAACTACAAGCACAGATGCACGAGCTGTGAATCAGAACAGTGCAATCTCTAGTGTTGAGGTGCATGGGAACACATGCAGGACGCTAGTGTTTTGTAACGTGACCCCAGGGGCATTAACAAGTCATTTAAAGGGGGGACAGGGTCACTCCAAGGTCATCAGGCACTCGCTGCACATTCCTGTAACGCGGTACAACGCAATTAAAGAACAGCGTAGGCCAAGTTCCATTCTCCACGCATTCATCAGACATGCACGTGTTTATTAAAAAGATCTCATAAAATCTCGCGAAGCCGCAGTATAACCTGCAGCTCTTCCCTTTAAATGTTCAGCAGATGCGTGTGACGCCGTCTAGATCTGCATCCTTCAGTAACAGCACACCTCTCTAAGCGTGCTCCAACACCGATCATAATTAAACAGCAAATACGCCATATTGTGTGTGTGCATAATCGAATCAGAGATGGCTAATATTCCTCTGTATTAAGCTATTAATCTAATTGCTCATGAAGCATAAAATACGTTATGTAATTAAATAGTCTCAAAATTATCCGGCGCCGTATTAAAAATTATCCAAGCTGAGCAAATGTTATCTCTGCGGCTGTTTTAGGGAACACGCTCGCCACGTTTCTGAGTCTATTAACGAGGCGGGGGCTTCGTCACAGCATCGCTATGGTGACCTACAGGAAACTGCCGTCTATTTACATATAAAGGGTTCTTTTAATCAAGCAAAGTGTTATTATATTGAGGCTCATTGAGCAGGAAGTAGAGGTGTTAAATAAAATCTTCTCTGCCCTGCCACCTTTGGGACGCCATACGTCTTGTTTTCTCAAATGTCAGTGGCGCGGCGCCGGCGGGCAGCGTAATGGGCGTCTTAATCAGACGAGGAGATCTCTGCGTTTACATGCGGTCGTTCTTTAATGCCGTCCTCCCATAGCCCACGCTCTCCCACATCTGCAGATATTCCCATTCCATCTCCCTCCGTTCCCAGTAAAAAAGAGAAGACACGCGGCTTCCCCCGGTGAAGGATGGCCATGTCACCCGCCGTCTCTATATCTCTCTCCGGGAGCGTAATGTACTGCACTGCTCCCGTCTTTGCATATAAGATCATTTGGGCATCAATCCTTCCCCTGACGGATTTATGTCACTCCGAGGACAGTTTCACTTCTCCTTTTTTATCGCTTCACTGGAGCCCGCTTAATTTCACCCCGTCATATTCTACCCCAGGAGATGCCGTTTTTTTCCCCAAATGTCCAACATTTGCATTGGCCGCATGAGACGTGGAGCGTGGCGCCACTGCAGCGATAAATAAATTCCACTTTAGTGCTTTTCTGCCTTGTTTTTGTTCCAGGCCGTCCAGGAAACATCGCTCGACCCGCGTCTCACCTGACTCGTTCTGCTGCCCTGATATTCAGCAATCGCAGGCCGGCCGTAAAGCAGAGCGTCTGTGGTGTTATTTTGGGTTTTCAGGGGAATTCTGACAGGAAACGGACAGGAAAGACTTTTGAAAGAAAGGCGGAGGAAGAAAAGAGTCCCAGTGTACTTACTTCCCCCTTTTCTTTACTGTACAGCCGTTACATGTAGTGCCACTGGCCATCCATGCCCATATTCATGCCCATGCCACTCATAGGACCTGTAGAGGCAAACAGCACAGACAGTCAGTGCCCAAAACACAACCAAACACACAGGAGAAGAACAAACTGACAGCTGGGGAAATTGACAACAACCCAGAGAACTCAGGTTGTTCTTTCATTGCTCAGGTAAAGAGTTTTTTATTTGATTTGATTTAGTTTAAATCTAGATTAAAGGCACATCTCTTAAGCCAAGCATTCACATAATGCATCTCGTAACTTTGTACTTCAGCTCTATCTGATCAAATGCACATTTTCATTCTTTTGCTTGGGTTGAACACATCATCTTTGCTTGGTTGGAACAGCAGCTACGCTAATTTCGTCTCTATCTGCTTCTCTGTTTCTGCCCGAGTTAACTAGGAATTGCACAAGCAAGCTTCAGTCTGGATCCAACCCTTACGAAGATCTGAGATGAGCGAACACCTGAGAAGAGATGATGCCAACCCCCCAGAAGACGTCGGATGATGCCAACCCTGGAAGAACATTCAAAACTACCAAATTTTGCTTAATCGCAAAGTTTAATCGCAACATATAATCATTGCAGTTCACTGTCTGTTTGATTACGTGTAATTTGTAACTAACTGCATGATTCTTACTGTACATTTCTGCCATAGTCACCACTAATAACCTACTCCTAAATATAATCTAGAAACTTAAAATGTTCTGTAAAGCTGCTTTGCAATGATTTGCATCGTGAAAAGTGCTATACAAATAAACTTGAGTGGAATTGAATCTTCCTAAACAACAGTTAAAATCAATGAGGTGTGTTTCCCAAAAGCAACTACGGTTGCAAGTTCCGTCGTTACCAATAGATTTCAAGGGAACTTGCAACCATAGTTAGCTAACAATGCTTTTGGGAAACGCACTCATAGATAGCAGCTGAGATCATTCGAGCTTGAGAGAATCTAAAGAGAGATGAGTCTTTTGACTGCAGACTTCTGAGCAGTCTGAGATATTTTCTTTCCTGAAACTCTATGGCTGATGATACATGGGGGCAACCTTTTGAGCAATTTTGCTAGGCAACTTTTTTGAGCAGTGTTGCTTAGGCACTTTCCCATAGAGAATGGGTAATAAATTTCTATCTGGATACATTAGATTGGTCTGTGTCTCACCTGGTTGCCCGTTGACGGCAACATTGCTCAAAATGTTGCCCCTCATGTATCATCAGCCTGTGGGAGACACCTGAGGTTACTGGAAGAGAAACATCTGAGAATCAGGATGCCCCAATGTTTTCTTCAATTAAGCGCATTACTAAGACAGGAGTGTCCAATCCTGCTCCTGGAGGTCACCTGTCCTGCAGAGTTCAGTTTTAAGCCTCATCAAACACACCTTAACCAGCTAGTCAAGGTCTTTGGGATTACTAGAAACCTCCAGACAGGTGTGTTAGGCTGATGATACACGGGGCAACTTGTTTTTTGAGCAACATTGCTTGGGCGCTTTCCCATTGAGAATGGGTAACAAATTTCTATTTGGATATTTTAGATCAGTCATGGGTCCTGTGTCGCACCTGATTGCCCCTTGACGGCAACATTTCCCAAAGTTGCCCAGCAACATTGCTCAAAAAGTTGCCCAGTGTATCATCAGCCTTAGAGCAGGTTGTAGCTAAACTCTGCAGGACATTGGCCTTCCAGAGCAGGATTGGACACCCCTGGTCTAAAAGAAAGAAGTGAGATGTTGAAGAGGTGATCGTAGGAAGATGGTCGCTGGATCTCACCTGCCGGCCGGATGCCCATGTGTTGCTGTCCATCCAGCACGAAGCTGCCCATGGGCTGCCCCTCCGGACTGTACGCCGCTCCCTGGCTCACTGAAGGATCAAGAAGAAAACCTGAGTGAAGTCAAACGTGGACACCAGGGGAAGAAGAGAGAAGACACACCAGACAATCAGCGATTATCCCAGCAGCAGCCCAAACACAATCAGCCACACACACACACACACACACACACGCGCGCCATTCTCCAACGTATGCATCAACAGGACAAGAGGAGGTTACATCAACAGAATGACGTCTATCTCTTGACTTGCTTCACTGGTCTTGGGTTCAGTAGAGAGATCTAGAAACCACGCAGTGGTGCTGATGCTTTCGCTGAAACTTTGCGTGAAACTCTACATCTACATTCATGTGCTGGTGTTTTCATCAATAAAAACACCACTGCTACATGACCTGTCCATTTCATTCAATTCATTTGTGCTGGAATCATCCCAGCTTCAGCACAGCGAGAAACATTATCAAGCCATCAGTAACTCAAAAACTAGAGAATTTCATTTATGCTTCTGGTGTGAATTCATGAATGCTTATGCAAATCGCTTTCTAATGTACCATAACACAAAGAGAAACAGTGAAATGCTCCAGAATTACTGTAAAGTTCTCCTGTGGCCAATTAGCATTGAGATGCACTAATGTCCCTCTAACCAGCGAGATGGAGAAACATCCAATTAGATTCAATCTGCTCTCATTGGAGCGTAGACACGGGAGAGACGTGCTCAAGGACTCTCAAGTGAGACACAAACAGTGTTGAGAACATTTAGAGAAGATGAGATGATGTTTACCTGCTCGATTTGACTGGTCAATCATGGGCTGCACTATTCTTCTTCTGGCATTAATGAACCTGCAAACACAGGAGAAAAACAAGACCCATTACGTCACCTGCCATCACAAACCCAACTGATATAAAACACTTAGTAGCTTTAGTGTTGTAGTACTCAATTATGGACAAGACCAGACTAAATTTTGAGTCCAAGATCATAATTTCTGGAGCATTTGGACTCGACCTGGACTTGGATTCGAATGAGCTGGTCTTGGCTAATCATAAAAATATATATATCTTGGACTTGAGATGGACTCTTGTCTACGCGGTCTAGTCTGGACTCGAGTACTACCAGTCCAGGCAAACCAGAAAACAGCATACAACTCAGTAGTGCGGGATGGTTCATATATGATGAATTGAAAATCGAATTCTCTGATTTTAATAAATGAAAATGTTTGAGTAGTTTGCCAAAGCTCTGCCTTGTAGAAATGAGATCTGGAATGGATTCTCCAAGACAGCAATCAGATAAGTGCAGACGTTATCTGAAGTCTCCTGCTTCTCAGACATAATCTCACATGTGTCTTAAAGGACTCTCAGATCTGCCAAGAGAGATCACAGCCATTTCTCATCAAATGATCTGAGCTGTTATCCACATTAACTTTAAAGCGCTATACTCTTCTGGAGGAACTTCTACGATGAAGTTGATCATCAAACAAGCAACTTCTGAGACCACACTGTAGCCCAAACCTCACGCATGCACAAACATTATTCTTCATGTGTTAGCGCTCACAAGGCGTTCAGAAGGATCGCGAAGTTTGCGATACAAGCAGCTCTTTGAGTGGGTCCCCTGCCCCCTGGTAAGGGCCCATGGCAGGGGTCTCTCTCCTCTCCAGCTGTCTGTAAATGAGCTCCAGGCTTTCAGCAGCTATTGTTATGTCAGAGAGGCCATCAATTAGCCTGTCTGAAGTTTTATCACCAGCACGGCGGCAAATAAGAGCAGCTCCACAAAACCTCTCCTGCAGCTTTTGAGCGCCGGGCCGCTGGGGTCATCGGGAGGTCAGTGCCAGCCCAGGGAACCGTTTTAATGCGGAATGGGCCGTGTCAAAGGCAAACGGCCGCTCCACGCCGGGAGAGACCCGTACTAAAGGAGCGAGCGTTAAAGGCGCCCACATGTGTTTGATATTAGAGCGAGGGTTCGGATCATGCTGGGGCTATCCTGCATGAAAGAAGCGGGCGAGCGCACACAGGGCGACTCTATGGGACCGGTCATTAGATACAAGCAGGACTGGAATCAATTTGAGCTCTAATCTCTCCTGAAGCCGTCGTACATGCACTTACCTTCCATTAACTTAAACGCCCGCAATCTGCGCTTGCACAATGACATGCTGAAGTTCACTGCACGCACAGCTGGGAAAAGAGGAATAACTTTGCTTTCTTTGTCTGAAAGACAGGAGCGCTACTAAAGGAGCACTAGCACCGAGCAACAGACACTCAGATAGCAGATATAACTGAGTGACAGAAAGAAAATCATTAACATGAGTGTAAATGCATAATGTGTGGGTATTGAGATCATCTGTCACATGAACACACACCTGTATGATTCATCACTCACACATTTGTTAAATAAACAGCAGTAATTTATTATTGGGCTCTATTGAACAAATGTGATCGGTCCATGTCATTACCCTGTGCTCAAATATTTGTGTAAGATGACTCTAAACTGTACTGATTGTTTCCATTCAAAAGTGTGAGGTCAGTAAATATAGTTTTTTTGAAAGAGAGAAATTAATAATTAATTCTAATTCATTAAAAGACATTTATAATGTTATTATAATGTTACAAAATATTGCAAATAAATGCTGTTCTTTTGAACTTTCTATTCATCAAATAATTCTGAAAACAAAATGTATCACAGTTTCCACAAATATATGACGCAGCAACACACACACACACACACACACACACACACACACACAGAGTGTCTGTTTTGCCTCTCCAAACTGTTGCCACAGTAACCCTGCAGGAGCAGCCCAGCAGCGCTGCGGCCCCAGAGCGCATTTTATCAGTGTGAGTAAAGCCAATTGAGATTATCAGACCTGCCTCTGATAACACTGTTTCACCTCCTCCCATGAGCTGCTAATGGGGTGTGCTTAGAACAACACCCGCCAGCACACACACACACACACACACTCTCACACACACGCACACA